CAGCTGTTTAGTAATAAAAGTGTTTATGTGCATCTTGGGGAAAACAAAAGGCCAATGTCAATGTAGTAAAACACCCCATAATGACCACATAATGCCTCCTAATGCAATCAGGGGTCATAAAATTTGATAACTCCTCATGAACAAACACAGCAGTTGGGAGAACGCCGTAAACATTTTACAGTATCACTTTACACACGTGTAAACATAAGCCCCCGCATCCGCTGAGCTTTTCATTTTTTCCTGTGTCGGAAAGTAAAAAGGTTGTTTGAGAGCAATAATCTAGCTGCTGGTGAAACACCAGTTGTCATGTTTCATTTACTTTATTCCCATGCTTTTTCTCGCTTCCAGTATCTCATTCTATGATTTTGCTGAAAGCAGGGCTACTTCTAGTCACAGTGGGTGAGCATGTAGCATGTGGTCGGCATAATTTACTGGCTCTCTTTTCTCTCCAGCAGTAAAAAAAAAAAAAAAAAGAGAGAGAAAAAAAGGTGGTTTTGAAACCTGAATTACAGGCAGTGTGAGCTTGCAGCTTTTTCTATCTGTGTGAGCTTCAATGCCTCACTGCTTGTGCTGCTCTCTGTCCAGCAAGATACTTTTTACACAGTAATGTGTTTATTGTTGACCTCTCAGTATCAGGTGTTCAGCTTGCTTACATGTTGCTGTCTGGACAATAACTAGGTTTGTGTTGGGTGGGGATGAGGGTTTATAAACATATTTGTAACGGTTATATGGAACAGCAGTTTTTGTTATTATAATCATAATAATAACACTGAAGTTTAATCAACTATTGAACTTAATTGAAATGTACTTCAATATGAAAGGCAAACTAGTCCAGATTTTACAAGTTAAAACTAGCTTTTTCTCATGAAGTTATGAATTGCCCAAACATGTATTGAATTGGTCAATCTTAAAAACTCAGCAGCTACTGACAAATCTTTAAGCCTCTGAGAGCTACAGCCGACTTTCTAGGATTTTTGGTGTAGCCAGTGGTTAGAAAAAAGAGCTTCAACTCAAGACTTATTTTTTGTGAGTTATTTAAAGTCCAAAAATCAATTTTAGAAGCTGGAAAAAGACTGTTGCCAAATGTTACTGCCTGGCATTGGTATACCATTACAAAAAAATGAAAATTAGTTTGGAACATCTCAGTTTATTTTCAATTTCCCAGGGCCAAAGGGATATAAATAAAGACGCCTGTGACTCTGATAAGCTAAGTGTACTCATGAGTGTTAATGTTTTTAACTGTAGTTGCCCGCTCCACTGGCTTATTCTTCTGTTCTTATAATCTGTTATATTCTGTCTTTGTTGTTTTTGTCATCTGTTTATTATAATTGTACTCTTTCTCTCAATGATTTCTCGAGAATAAATAAAGGTTGAATGAAGTAGAAAGTTCAAACATCCAGTTCATACGGCGAAATAATACAAAGTTGTTCAGATTGAAATGTTTTAGTGGCAAACAATTGGTATTTGTTATGTCGAGATGACATTTCTCTGAAGAACAGGGGATTCATGTGGACCCCTTGCAAACAAAATGATGATTAGCATCTATCCTGCTATCTTCACTAAGTGATCTTTGGATGGACAGATGGGGACGGAGAGGATTTGAGTTGTGTGTTGAAACCAGATTGATTAAAAGGGAAGTGTAAAGTGATATAGATTTTAAAAAATACAAACCGAAGCACTGAAAGCTAACCACAGTGTGTATTATACTCTTCTGATTAACAGAGAGACTTTATGTTGAATCTCATGTGTCAGCACTTCTCTGTTAATTGTTAAGCTAACACTCTCCCCTCGCCCTGCATCCTGTGTACCTTCTTCTCTCCTCTTTCTGCCCTCCTGTCCTCTTGCACTCTGTTCTTTGTACAACACCACGGAGGAAATGTTGATTTTAATCACGAGGCATAATTAATTACCATCCTCTCTTGTTAAGAAAATAAAAGCCTCACAGCCACAAAGTAATTGGCAGCGATGTAATTTGTGGTCTACTGTAGGCAGTATGCGGCTGAGGATGTGGTATGTTGGTGTGTACTTCTCTGTGTTAGATGTTCAGTGCAATTTATATTTGTTTTTGTTTTTTGGGTTTAACATGCACAACAATAAGTACCAAGCAATCCTGGTCTTGAGTATCCTTGAAATTTCAAAGATAGTGAATAACTGTGGCAATGGATCTTTACAAAGTGCTTCTAGGAAGAGCTCAATATTCACGATAGCATGGCAGCATTAGTGATGAACAAGCGTTGGGTTGCAGTTTACATTCAGTGATGGATTTGAGAGCTTTAGATTGGATTCAGAGATTTTTTAAAGGTAGTTAAGATTCCATTTCTGTTTCCAACTGACCTCCATTTCCAGAGGGTCCCGAGCTTCAGCTATACTCATCCGTCTCTCCATCTCCCATCATAAAGCGCCTCACTGCACCTATAACTATGGTTCTGCTGTGCTGCCACTTATTTGCATGTGCTGTTAGATAAAAACAAGATGTTTACCTGCACAGCAGTCTGAGAATAACTGGTGGTGTAAGATACTTTACAAAGGAAGATTATCAAACCAATTCTTTATTAACACTGAACGTAAAATGGAGTAAAAAGCCGTATCTTTATGCATTTACTTTAACCTTTCATCATGTTTTTATTGACTAACTTCCAAACCGTGTTATACAGCTAACTCTGTTAGCGTTAGCTCGCCAATAAAGGTATCTCTTTGGTAGAAAGTGGTGCAGCATATGGATGATTAAAATTGAATTAGGTTTGTATGACATCATCACAAAATGAATGATTCAATGAGAAGTAGAGCGCTCATTTTTAACCTCCTGGTAACATGTGTTTGTGGTTCTTCCTTTCCCCTAACCGTCAAGTTTCAGGATCATCGTTACTGCTTTTGTCATTTTGACTGTCAAACTGTCTTAAACAGCTTCTTCATGGAGAAAAAATAAAACCTGAATAATTTGATTTAAAGACCAGTCCACCAACTGTGAGAGCAACAGGGTGGATACTTAAAGCTACTGTGAGGCGTTTATAGCTGGTTGTTAAACTGAAATGAATTCTGTTGCCTTTCAGCAGTCTACAAAAGCGAACAAGGGGGTCAGAGAGTGTGGTTGACAGCAGGCTTTATCAACGTTTTCCATGGATTCACAATGAGGTGATACTTTTGATTTATAATGAAGCAGGAGAGACTTTTATTCAGAAAACACTACAGGTCCTGAGAGAGAGAGGTACTGATCTATTCATGAGGCGTGACCGAATCACAATTAACCAAAAGTTCATCACAGGAGCTTTAATGTGAGCTAATTGCTGAATTAATTGATTGATTTAAGTCTCTATTTCTGAATGAAGATTTAAAGACTGTTTGCAGCAAATTTAGATCTTCATATGTTTGCCCCGTGGCTATTAAAGCAGTTACATGTTGTGCAAAAACATAGATCTGTTTGTTCAGCCATTCGTTGCCAAGGAACTAGATTCACTTTTGAGTGCACAATGACCGATCCATTATAAAACGAGTTACCTACAGCCCTCTATTGTGGCTTCTTGGTTCATACCTCCTCGGTAAGTTTCATTTAAAGGGCAGTTTAATTCAGAGGTAGACAACAATTGCATAGATGCAGCTTGAGGTTAGCATTAGGTCCTGGAAGAAAGCAACTCCAATTCACAGGGTTTAAGCTTTTGTACATGCATTGTGTGTAGTGCACTACACATTTTCTATCAGTATGGCAGAAAAAAGAGGCATCACGTGTGAAAGTTATTGTGTCCTCCTGCATCTTCATGAAGCTCTTTATTACATTACTTTGGTAGGAAATTAAAATGTATATAAATATCACGGTATTGTACATAACAATTGAAATGTATAATGTGGGCATTTCATTTCATTTGTGTTGATAGGACAGCCGGATCTTTTCAAGCTCAAATATAAGACTGTTGCAGGTGGTAGGAATGTTTTCCTTAAGGATCCAGCTTCATAACAAAACTGTTCATAATGACAAAGAAGGCTTAAGAAGAGTTGAGTATTTACAGGCTTATTCACATCTAGTTTCTAGTGTCTGAATGGTAAATTAGACTGTACACAGACCTTTACAGTGATGAAATATCACCAGGCTCTACATGGATATCCTGTCACATAAATTTGGTCACACAGCGAAGGCTGAAACTGTGTTTTATGAGCCTGACTGCGAGTGATATATACGTTTGTGTGTGTGTCAAATATCTGTGTGGGGGTGTGTGAGTGTGCAGTGTCTGCGTGTGTGTGCATGTGTGCATGTGTGTATGTGGTGTGTGTGTGTTTGTGTGTGACGGGGCCTGTCTTCGCTGCAGCCTCGCCTTGGCAGGTTGTAGTTTTCCCCTCAGAAATCAGCCGCTCTCTGAACTGTAAAATCACACTAGAAGCCAACCTTTGAGAGGAAAATTAATTACTTTCCCTCCGCCTCTGCCTCCCTCATTTTTTTCCACATTAACCCCCCCCCCCCCCGTCCCTTTTCACTCTCTTTTCTAAGACTCTCTTTCTTTATTTTTCTTTTCTCGCAGTACTTTTGAATAAGTTTTGCCACTGGTGACATTTTTTTTCAGTGAAATATGCCATTACCCAAGAAGCCTCCCTCCTTTCTTTAAAGCCTGAAGGTGTTGTCACAAGTGTAGATGGAGTGTTTGTGATTGCTCTCTTCATTCTTGGTCCTGTTTTGGCTGAATCCCTCGCCCACAAACTCTTCGGCAATCATTAGGTTGTCAAGTTTTGCTATCACAATCGAGAGCGTGATTCATTCCAAACCTGAAAGCTGCTCTCCTTGTTCTGTTGCCGTTAAAGTGGCCAAGATAATAGATTGCCGCAATCCACTTCGAAGTCAGTGACGCTGGCATTTGTCATCATATTTATTCACAACAAAGGAATTGTTACTCTTGCCTGATCATTCTTCTTTTCACCTGATATTATGCTCCGTGACCTAAAGGGATCTTTGACATCAACATCTTCACTGCGGGACTTTAACGTTTTGGTGTGAATGTTTCTGCCTTTCCTCTCAGGTTCAGATTGAAGATGTTGAGAATGAAGGAAAGCGATACGCCCTCTTCCAAGAGCTGCTGGAAACTGCACAAAAGTGGGAGGACCTCCAACTGCTCATTCTCCTTCTCCAAGCGTGGCCGCCCATGATGAAAGAGGAAGTGTAAGACAAATGTCTCCTTTTGCATTCTATTGTTCATCCAGATTATTTCAGGTTTATATGGATACTTTAGTAATTTCAGAAATTAAGCTAATTCCTTTGGTTGCCAAGAGCTGAAATAGAACACTGATACCGTTCTAATGCCATGAGTTATTAATCTACATCCAGCAACAGGTTAGCTTAGACTGGAAACAGAGAGAAACCGACTAGCATGTCTTTGCCTAAAGATTCCAGGACATTTAAGCTTGTTTAAAAAAAATGAAAAATGAATTGAAAAATGAAAAGTGTTGCAAAATTAAGGGTGAAAAAACATAATTTGCGCTTCACTTATTCTTCCCTTTGAAGAGCCTAATCTCACTCAGATTCTGCATGAAAAATGCAGAATGTGTTGGCATGGTACCAGATTATCATATTGGAAGTGTTCTGGTTTTTGTTGGGAGAATAGAAACATTGCCTGCTGTTGTTTTGAGCTGTGAACTTCTGTATGTAGGAAAACAGTCAGAGGGAAGAGCAAAAAAGTCGAAATCCCCGAACCCATCGGTTATCATCACACAACAGTTTAACTTTCATTCATGTCTTTTAACAGAAATCTACTTAAACGTGCAGTTAACAGTTCTCACTTAACTCCAACTCTATTTGTTGTTTGACTGTAAACACGGCAACGCATGGAAAAAGACGTCTTCGGCTAGAAGGCTTTTATCCTAACTGCTGGCAACACTGGACGCTTCTCAAGGTTCAAGGTTCAAGGTTTCTAACATATTATATAAAAGCAATTTAAAGGAAACATTTTTTTTTTTAAAAACATCATCTATTACATCTGGTCATGGAGAAGTCCTCAAACAGACGCCTGTTAAGAAGCTGGAAATATCCTGATATGGTTAAAGTGCATCATGTTGTGCTAGTTTTGTTCAGCCGTGCTATAGCTACAGGTATAATAGTGTTCCTGTAGTGTTTTGTTCTCCTTTTAGGAGCAGAAAATCAACAGCCAGAGCAGAGAAGCTGAAACTCCCCATTTAAGGGGTGAGAGCTGTCGTTAAGAATAGTGTTCGCCACACGCTGCAGCTGCAAAGAATAGATATCCATCAGGTTGGATTGAGACTCTCCTATAAGTTTGCTTGCCCACTTGACAATTTGATTGAGAGCATTTTTTTTTCCAAGAGTCAGGTCACCAAACCATGGAAAAAGAGAAAGAGACAGGATTGATTTAATGAAAGCTCTGTAGAACAAAATCATCAGGGTTTTGTCAACATCAGGAAAGTTTCCTCAGACACAACAAACATTGATGCGCCTTTTTGCAGACTTCCTTCCATTTTTTCTCGAAGGTCAGTTTTGAATCTATTATCGTCCTGAGGTATTTGTAGGTTTCCACCTATTCAACCGCCTGTTTTTTTTTTATAATTGCGGGCTGATGTTTTGGAGTATGGGCTCTAAAGTCTATGATCATCTCCTTTGTCTTGGAGATTGTGAGCTCAAAGAAAGACTCTTCACACCAGGAGACAAAGTCATTAACAACCGGCACGTGGCTAGTGGCTATATCTTCTTCATTCCAAAGCTGATAGGTTCCTAACTCAGAAGAGTCTAAATGCTAAGCTAGGTTTACCAATCAGTGGTTGTAGCTTTAGCCTTCACTCATACACCAGAGGATTATACAGATCTTTTCATCAAACTCTCTTCATTAAAGTCTGCTTACTCATAAAATTCCATTGGCAGGTTTTTGGAGATAATTCATCTTACTATTTTAGATTCTGTGCAGAATACCAATCCTGTCGTCAATTTAGTTTTTTTTTGCCTCTGCCTCGTCTAAGAATGCGTTGGTACCCTCTTAGCATCTTCAATGAATGTCTGTAACAGGTCAATAATTTAAATGAGTGTCATTTCACAAGTTTTGTTCCAAAAACCCTTTTATGTAAGTTTAAAATAACTTCACTGAGTCCTTTCAGTGCGTGTCAGTCAACCATAGAACTTCTGAAAAGGTGGCATACTGTATTTTGTTGTAAAACAAAATCTAGGACACATTGTCCCCTTTATTAGAAAACTTCTGTGCGTTTCACTAAAAGCAGAAAGAGACAATAGTTCTTTAATGGCTCAGGTACATTTATTGCAGATAGACTCTCAGAGTTGGAAATAAATGCAGGCATCTTAACAAACCTTCAGGCTCTGCACTGCTTGTACCAGCCTGCGTGTTATGAGCCACAGCAAGTGTTGGCTTTATTATCGATAAGTACCTAATGATGTGATTGCTCTTCTGCTGCTCCATTGTTCATGATTAAAAGTGAGCGCTGCTCTGAGGGCCGCCGAGACAATACGGGGTTATGTAGTTGAGATTTTCCTTCCAGCTCAATCAAATCAGACTTGTGTTTCAAACTGTTTTCACGCTGCAATATAAAGTGGAGTTCTTCTCCAGTAGTTGTTAGGAACTCACAAGGGCATTCACATAGCTGTGTATAAGTCAGCTTTATAGACTCCGAGGACTTTGTTGTTTTTTTAATGAACAAGTGTTGATTACCAATGCATCAGTTTTAAAGCCAGTACAGCCAGCCTGATGGGATACTTGCTCTTTTAGTTTAAGATAGACATTACACCATAATCAGACTATACATTATGTTGTCTTTTCATATTATCACCCGGTCATATAAGAGGTACCTCAGTCCTTACCAGCATGAATTGTTAATCTGCATCTACAAGAGGGGCCAGACACAGAGTTCAAGGATTCGGAATGACATCATCAATGGCGTCACTTAACACGTTGTAGTTAGTCTTTCTGGTTGGGTGCCTTTCATCAAATACACAATTTCAAAGAATTAAAGGAGCAGATATAATTTGAACATTTCCTGCATGTCATCCTACGTTATCCACTGTCCTCTCTGATAAAAGTCCCAAAATAAAATATACTAATTCATAATTGCAAATATTTGCTGTGCTTTATCAGACACCTACCCCAGCAGCAGGTGTTGCCAGGATTTAAAATATACTGTAGATATAGTAAGCTGCTAATGGGCTTGTTTCCTTTTTACGTCATAAAGAGGCATCCATATTCATTTCTGTCTTTTTTATAACCAGTTAAAAAGTCCTCACAGTGTCTTTAACTTTTCAAAATAAGGGCTAAATGTTTCTTAAGAGTTAATTCAGCGTAAAAAAAATAAAATGTAACTAACAAGAATCAAGCGTGAAAATGTGCTCATAGCTGTGTTTTTATCAGGCAGTGGAGTTGTGTTAAGCCGGCTTCTTCTCTGGCTTTTCTTCTGTTCAACTGAGAAGCAGGAGGAGACACAGGATTAGGTTTGGATGACACAGTTGCTTCGAGTTCACTCCTGGATTTCACAGACACTCCGCTGACTTTGTAGCATAAACAGCTGTAGTCAAAACGTCATTGCCGGGACGGCCGGCTATAATCAGTTCTTTTAACTGCACACTGAGCTGTTGTGTTGTATAACGGATTAAACGGAGGCATAATGCTGAGAACAAAGTTGCCTTCTGATTATGGATTTAGTTTTTTCTTTTCTCTCTTTAGTCATCCTCATTAACATGTCTCAAGTTAATTTGCTGCAGCGTGCATAAAGACGTTAACTGCAGAACGCTGTGTTGTGCGCTTTGAAGAAAAAGCCTGAAAATCTAGGTCTGATCTGTACCCATTGTGCGTTTTACATCGCAGGCAGTCATAATTTGGGATACAAAACTCAGAATAACTTAACCTTCAAATGGATCATTTAAGATGTTCTTGTTAAGACTTGAGGTAGTTACCTCTCCGTGTGCAAGACACAAAGTTAACCTTCTGTCTCAGTCTGGATCGAGCATTAAATCCTTGATGCGGTGGAGGTGAGATTGTGAGTCTGCGTGCAGAGATGGTTCTGTGAGGAGCACAAGAGGCTGTTCTGGATATTGAGTTGCAATCTGAATAAGCTTATCCTTAAGTCGGTCGTCATAAACTGAGTCATGATTCAAAGTACGAAAGGTGGCTGGCTGTGACTCGCACTGCACCCTGTGACAGCTTTGGCGAGAGCACTGACACCCTTCAGCCTCCCCTGGTAAAAGAACAAAAAAGGAGCAGCACCGTGCCAGCAGCACAAGTGGGCTCTTTTTGCCTCCATTTATGCATCATGGGAAGGTGAAGCAGCTTGTCCGGACAAGACTCCCGGGTAGCTGGAAGGAGAGCTGCCTTTTCTACTGACAGGCACACACAGGGGCCCTGCTGTCTCCTGACGTCTTTGCTGTCCTGTTTTTATTTCTCGCAGGCTTTTGCTTTCGCAGATGAACAAAACTATAAATCTGCATCCACCTTTAATTATTTAAATGAAACAAAGAAAACATGTTTGATCAGGTACCCTCCGCACATCTCCTCCTTTTCCTAGTCTGCCTGTTCATTATTTAATAAGCTGCTTGTCTTGTTAATTGCAAAGCTCACTTGCTGTTCTGCATGTCTGAAAGTGTGTTTGCTAACTTCTGTTCTCCCCTCAATACATCAGATGGATGTGTATCGCTACACTAAGGCTAGAAAATATGGTTTGATTCCCTTCATGAGCTTTGCACAGATATAATGAGACCTTAGCTTTGCACTAACAACTTCATCCACCATTACCACGAGCATTAGCACTTTGGGAGCCTCTTGTATAGCACTGACTCTTGCCATGCTAATTATAAAAAACTAATGAAATTAATGATTTAAACAGGGCCCGTCCGTCAGCCAAGATCTAATTAACAGATAATGAGTCGTTCTGGGTTCCCATCTTTTTTATATATGTTAATAAAGATCCATGAAGGTCGTGTTGCTGTACCTTTGCTGGCATTTGCAGGCCTTGGTGGATGCTAATCGTACACCCTGGAGGCATTAGCACACAGGGTCTTGCAGACCTCATAAAGGAGCATGTCAACAAAGAGATGTCTGTCAGTGGCAGCCGTCCCTTGGTGTTTACAGAGACCGAGACAACGTAGGTGTTTAATATTTACTGCAGGAGTATTGTGGTCAAACATCTTTCCTCCTCACTTACTGCTCTAGTCAAAGTCAGAACTATTGATCATCTGCAAACCTCTTGATATTTCTGACTGCTCTCTACTGTAGGGATGGTATTACTCGGATTTGGTGGTTGCATTTATACTATTCATGATGGAAATGTATTCTTAAAAACTCATGAGTATCATCCCATGAGTTATCAGTGTTGTAATGTTGTTCTATTGTACCTTCCTGACAACTTATATTGTCCTAAGCACAATAACTGTTAAAGCAGGTGAAGCTCAGCAGAGGATTACACACAAAAACATGCTTTTATTCATATTCACACATCCGTCTTGCTCTCTCTCTCTCTCCAGGGCAGAGTCAGAGCTTAACCCCTGGGTGCTGCTGACCTCAGCCTTGCTGACCTGCTGCCAGGGGCCGGAGGTCAAATTAGACCTGGGTCAGCAGGTCGTCTGCATGGTGCGATCCCTCTATAACACCAAACACAAGCTCCCTGTGCAGGTAAACCACTGAAAACACAATAACTGCCTGTTTTGTACTTTTTCTTTGCTGTGATTTGAAGTAGGTCAAGTTGATACCCAAAACAATATTTTTAAAATATGTCTATGCTTATGCTGTGGTCAAACTGAAGTTTAACTGGTGGTCAGGTAGCCAATTTTGTTTTCATTTTAGAAGTGTCAGCATAAACCGCTTATAAAATACAGGGCTGAACCATTGACTGTATATAAATATGGATGACACGTCTCCATCCTGCTATACAGAACTGAAGTCCAAATTTCTCCCGCCCATGACAAATATGAGATGACAGAACCAAAACACAGATTTAACCTGCTGATAAAATGGCACACATCCTTCAGTTTTTTTTGTATGACCCACAACAGAACAGATTGTTGTATTTGTTTGAAAATGGGACTTAAGGTTATGGAAAGTTAAATGACTCTTGTGTAAGTATTTTCTTACGGTTCCTCTCCCAGTTCCTTGTCTGCTCTGTTAAGTCCGTAAAGAATGTTTTACAGATCTGTCAAACATGCTGTCACATCCGCTCTTTTTAGAATCCAATAAATAATGAAAACCAAACGTCAAAGAAAAGAAAACACTTGATAATAGTTAGCATGATGCGAGCTAAGTTTGAAAGAAATCATGTTTGAGAAAAATGTATTTGACATCTGTTCAAAGGGGAGTAGGCGAAGCCAATGACCTACACTTCAGTCAGTCAGAACTAGAGCGCCAAATACTCTGGCTTCACTTTCAGCTGTTTTGCTGTCCATGTTTTCACAAATTCAGAGTATCTTTACAATGTGGTATTGCAACAGATCTGAATACCCCGTCCGGCATGCAATACGGGGAAGACTGTAAAATGTATATGTTTGAACCAAAGTAAAATCTGGCTTCAACACTATTTTATATTCCTCTGCTATCACCAGCTATATAAAAATAAAAGAGGTAGCTTGTTTTGTATTCAGTGTAACCTCACTGCAGTGTTATTTATTCACACTGTACAGGAGCCTTAAGCTATTAAGGCTGTAACACGAAGCAACATGTTAGCATCAGCTCAATGCCTTCTGCAATGCACTGTAGGCGCTAGCCGCACTTTGATATCTGAAGGCTCCTAATGCTATTCACGCCCTGCTGAGCAACATGGTTGTGGTAAGCCTAATGCCTTTCTGTATGTCTAGCGCCAGCTGACTGTGTATTAGTTTAAAGCTAATGCTATTCAGCGTGAATAGCATAGTGTCTGCCTGGCTGTCTAATATTAGTGTGGGAAGATGGTGGGAGGTGTAGAAGGAGGCCTTTTACTGTTCTGAACAGCTTTAATTTGAATCTGCTGGAATGAAACCGCCAGAGCATGGGGGAGTCAGATTGAATTGTGATATCCATATATTACCGGAGAGGACTGCAAAAGGACTGTGTGTATTTGTATGTGTGTGTGTTTATGTGTAGACCTTTTAAAAAGTATTATGTTCCTGCATGTCTGTACAGTATATGCACATCGATTAACCTTCAGTGTTCCTCGCCTACTCTCTCCCCTCTGTCTTCTGCACTCCCCCTTTGTTCTCTTGCTCATTTTTTCCCTGTCTTCTGATTACCTTACTCCGATTTTATTCCATTTTTTTTCTCCCACATATCTATCCATTCATCAACCCCTGTCTTTTCCTCTCCCTCTTCCTCTCCAGTGTATCAGACACATATCCACCCTGCTGCTCCAAAGCCAGCCGAGCCTCCAGCAGCCTGCACTCAAACTGATGGCAGAGAGCGGTGATGAGCAACTGCTGCAGCTGACTCTGGATCAGATCACCAGCATGAACGCAGTAAGTCTCATTGTGACAGTCTGCATAGTCTTTATTTTTAAATCAGATCAAGTCCAATCCACTGAAAGGCTTCAGCTAGAACGAGGGAATTATTTTATTAGAATTGTTCTTTAAAACTTCAAATTGCATGACACCACTTCACAGAATTCATGGGTATGTTCATTCTTTGCTTTTAGCCAACAAATTGTTTTCAGTGATAAGTGATGTACATACACATTTGTTGATAAATAGCTCAGATAATGAACTTGTTATTTTATTGAGTAATATTCAGTTGATCAAGTGATTTCAAAACTATATATAATAAGAGCCATTATATTTTTATTTGTCTGTTAATCAACATCTTATAATATATGAATAGTTGTTTCTAGTAGTTTGTCTCTTCAGTTTTGTATTTCCATTATTGCCACATAAATGTAAGTTTCAGCCTAAAAGTGAAAGAGTCATTTTTGGCAGTCTCTACAATATTTTAAAGTTTGCCGTTCCCTGAAAATAATTGAGATTCTCTCAGCTTAATTAATGCTGATTTGCATAAAATGAATCACTCAGATTTTTGATTATTATCTTTGGCATCCAATGAAAGCTATCTTGAATGTCTCTGTCACTCCCCCATTATTATAGATACTGTCAGTTACCCTTCGGTACTCAGCGCTAGCCTGGGAGTGAGCATCTCATGTCGGCTAACCACATTTTGTTTGAACTGCTGATCTCCTCTCGGTTGAATTCTTCTGAGGTTTTCATGAAGAAAGTAAAAAATCTGCACTCAAATAGTGACTTTGCTAGCTGTATCATTGGACTTTTGTCTTGTCTCGTGAAAGTGTAGTTTGAGAAATCAAGATGGGTTCAGATATGTAAGTCTTGTCCAAATGTAAATAAAAACCTTCTTCACAAGAGTAAGATAATGTAGTTCTCTAGAAGAATCTAAACAGTCAAACAAGCCAATGTGCATGCACTTCCTAACTGTCCTCCGTTTTTTGGAAAGCCACAGTCAGATAAGAGAGTAATAGTTTTGGACTGTGTGGGCCGCTCTCCGCTGTTTTCCCATCAGATAAGCAGTAGTCACAAAGTAGGGCCTCTCAGACCCAGCAGACCTTCTCTTTGTTCCCAGATCAGATAAGAGAAAGCCTCTCTATTAAGCGACAGAGCCCCCATTAAATGAAACATTCAAGCTCCTATATCTGTACACCTGAGCAATACGGTGCTTATGTCCCACAGAGAACAGAGAGGGAGGCAGGGAGGTAAAGGGGGTAAGAAAAGAGATGTGTGATTTAGATGCAGGAGGAGGGAATCAAATGGAGAGGTGGGGGGGATGTGTGTTGAGCTAGATAAATAGGATGGGGAGTGGTGAAAAAAAGGCAGAACAAATGTATAAAAATGTAAAGTTAGACAGACAAAGACAGAGGTAAAAAAGGACAGAGCAGGGTGTACAGTCTGGGTGAAGAAGGGATGGATATGGAGTAAAGATAAATCAGGGAGAGAACGAAGGGGGAGGGTGTATAAATGGAGTAAGACGGCTAGTGTGTCATGCTGCTTTGAGGAATAATCTCACCTCTGAACGAACAGGAGGGCATGTTCAGAGCAGCATAGAACAGTGATCATCTGAAGATAACATCGGCAATGACAGAGAGCAATCGTCTTACATCTGATAATGCATATGAGTGTGTGTCTGTGTGTGTGTCTATTCTCTTTTTATGCGTGTGTGTGTGCATCTGGCTTTGTCTAAGATTATTCATATCAGGTTTGTGTCTAGATTTTTTTTGTTTTTGAGTTCAGTGTTTCTGATAAGGATGAGTTAATGAAAATCAAATTGTATTTAAAAAAAAAAAAAAAGAAAAATCTTGAGGACCCCAATCTATAAGATGAAGAGAAATAAAAATACAAACTGAATTAATAACAAGGTAAAAACATAAGAGAATCAGCCTCCTCCTGGGCTGAACTGAACCCCTGCATAACCTGCTGAACCTCTGCAGTATCAGGCTTATGTGCCCACATTTATATATTTTCACATCTCCACTTTTCTCCTCTTTTATTTTTGAAATGTGCTTTTTTTCATGCATACCTGCAAATGAATATGCCTACACTTAAGTAGACTCCAAATATAAAATGTTTTTCACACCATAATATCTCCATCATAACATCATTTACTGATCTGGAGAAGATTTTTCCCTTTTTTTTTAACTCATTTATCTCATCACACCGTGACTACAGTACAGATGTCTCTCCCTATAGGCTTTCTGTTCCCTCAGAGCTCATAGAAAATGCAGCATATACTCTACTTCACTAATTTTAGCCTCTTTATAATGTCTACACGTTTCTTTTTTAATCAATTTATTTAAAAAAGGCTAAAAAGGCATTTCTTGCCACCTTGATATGCTCTTTTCTTATAACCAAAGATATGCCTAAGATCCACGGCACAGTTGTATTATTCTGTCCAAAGTCACTTCTTGAATCTATTGGGGTCTGTGTTGTGCTGTTGGAGCCCAAGCCTGGGGAGATCTGGTGTTTAAAGTTGTTTCCTCATCTTTAAATCAATCCTTGAAAAAACTTGAAAATCCAATGCTTCTGTCTTTGTTTTGTTTCAGTTGTTATTCATTTTTTTACTCAGTTTGATTTATTCATGGTATTGTTTATATGTTCACTTGTGAAATTGTCCCTGCTGTAATTTATTCCTACCTGTCACTTTCTATTGCTTTGCTCTCTTTTTTTGCATGTACAGCACTTTGTAAACATGTTCTTGAAAATTGCTTTCCAAACTAAGTTATTATATTTCATACAAGATTTTGAGTCTGAAAAGTATTATATATTCTCTTCTTTGCCACTACGTCGACGTCCGTCATATTCCCCATTCGGGAATTAAACGTTCAACCTTAAACTCACCAGCGCTCTGCCATTGGCTTAGGCAAGTACATCAGCTCCCTACCCAGAAACGTCCTGAGTCAACCAAAACATGTAAATACTGGCTGAGGACTGGGTCTCTGTAGACACAGTCATCACCACACATGTTTGGCAGCCCATAATGTGATGATTGAGCAGCATTACTTTTGTATTGATTTATTGTTTTGTTTTTTAAGATAAAAGCTACTGACTCTGCCTTTAGGTTCTTTTATCAGATCTTCAGTTAGTTATTCAGTTTAAGGACTTAGGTTGGGAACCAGAGGGTCATCAGTTCAAGTCCCAGTATGGACCTGAACCTTCTTCTTTTTTTACATTTAACATGTCAAAGATTCTTGATGAGTGATAAAGGAAGCACGATGATATTTTGTTAAAAGAAAAAACACTAACCAAACTGGCATGAAATGAACTACTGAAGTATTGAAATGTCCTGGCCAAAACCAGCAAAAAGAAAAACAAATTGATAGATTCTCACAGGAGCTTTAACTTTTAAATGATTGTTTGCCCTTTGTCTCTTTTTTTAACTTAAACATCCTGGGGAAAAATACAATCTGAAGTTTCCCCCTTCATTTTAATGTTCACCTTTTCATGTCTTAATTAACTAACCTAACGTTGATCTCAAACACAATGCATAATATTTATCAGCTCATGCAGAGCACAGTTCTGTTGATTAACTACATGAAAAAGACATGCCACTCTTAATGATTGACAGGCCTTATCTTCATGCAGTTGTGTTTGTTTCCTGGTGTGTTGTCACAAATTAGGTTGCACATTGTTTTCCCAGTAACAACACTGTCCCCATCCCCCCTCCCCCTATAAAACGAGATACCCCTGAGATCACAAAAGAAGAAAAAAAGATTAATTCTTAAGATTACTTTTTTAATTAGAATGGTGTTATAGGAAACCACTTGACACATGAAGTAATTGAGAAAAAGTAATTTGTTTGGCTGCAGTTTGAGATATGTTTTAACTTAAGCTCGCCTCGCCGTGGAGGAGACCACTGTGGTCGTAGTGAAACAAACTGAGGGATGAAATAAAGAAAGGAGTGGGAGTACAGAATATGAGTTGAAGGGAAGACAAAGAAGAAGTACTGTGAATGAACAGTTGTATTGTTCTTAATGATGCAGGCAATTTCAGTGCAGGTGTTCAGGCTTTTATTTCTTTTCACATCTCACATCAAATGTAGGCTATTATTATTATCTTCTTTGCTCCCCAATCCCACAATAGCTTCCCTATCCTTAAAATCTCTCCTTCCATTTCTTCCTTACTTTCTTTTCCGCTACTTGCTTCTCTCTGCTCTGCCCCTCCTAGTGAAGATGTATGGACCATGCAGGAGCCGAGGGGAACAGGGAGCCAGGGGTTAACAACAGCCTGACTAATGGTAGACAGAGATAAGGGCTGTTCTCCTAATATGAATGAGTTGTCAGTGTAACATACAGCACTTCAACACATGGCACACAAAGACAGCAAGCTACAGTACACACCAGATTTTGCCGCCACAAATTCTTCTAGTAGACCTTGGCCCTTGAAACTTCTTTTTATCTCTGAATCTCAAACTCTATAGCTTCCTCATTTAAATTTAATTGTAATCAATCTACTGTTTTTAAGCCACACCCGCTGTAGTTACTGTTAGAAAAGCCTTTCAGACATTCAGTTCTTGTATTGAATAGATTTTTATATTGGTGAAAAAAAAGCAGATTTACCTGCGAAAATAATATCTGTCATTTTAAAAACAACACTTGCTTTATTTCAGAAGTAAGTCAATAAAAGCAGACTCCTCATTTATGGCTGTGATTTGTATTTTTCTTGTCTATGACAGCAGATTTTATGGTTAGCTGTGGGCTAGCTAGCTTACTAAGCTAACATTGCTTCAATGAATTTCTTGAAATACTGCATCTGTTTTTTTTTCTTGCTTCTAGCTGTTGTAAAATGAAAACCCTGTAAAAGGAATATTAAATGTGCACTTGAAGGTTACATGCTTGATGTTGTGCTAATAGCCTGAGGCTAAAGCTACATGTTCTATGCAGAAGAAAGCATCCTAACCTGTTGATGTTGCATGTAGAACAAAAAAAGGAGCAGCGTTGTTGTTACATAGCGGTTTAGAAGATGTT